ATTGAGACGAGTCTCATTGCATTATGGTCCATGTTATGTATATTCTGATTAGTTGTTTCTTCATAAATGTTTTTAACTGTTTCTTTGCTGCTGGGAGGTTCTTCAGTAAAGAAGGTCAAGCAAATATTTGCTTGTCTTTATTAAAATTTAGATCATTTGGTCATCATAGTTAGAATAAACCATAATTGAGCAATTAAATAAATTAAGACATTTTAATCTCTTGCTCCTATCTTTGACGATAAAAGCAGATGGCCAAAACACTCATTCGCTCTCTATCAGTTCTATATAAATACTACCATCTTTTAGTGTCTTTTTCTCACGTTGTCGGTGTGTCTCGGTGTTTATTTTAAGTTTATCTCATTATCTCTCTCTATATGCATCTCAGCCATAAGGAGATAGATATGAGCAGGGCCGGCCTTAGGCAATTAGGCGCCCTGTGCAAAAAGTCTTCACGGCGCCCCCCCCACCTCCCACCAAGTTGCCTGAATACAGTAACACACACAGGCACCGGGGACGTGTGTATCACGAGGCAAACAAGGCATCTGCCTTGGGCGCCACTTTGCAGGGGGCGGCAAAAAAAAGCATCCCTCCAAACCCCCAGGCAGATCCCTTGCTTGCCTCGCATCCTGGGGGGCTCAAGAGCTGACCGGCTGGCCACTTTTGAGCCCCCCCAAGGCTGGCAGCGGGCAGCGAAGGAGCATACTCACCTGAGCTCTTCCTGCTCAGCTTCCTCTGCGCCGCTTAATGAAGCCGGGAGCCAGAATATGACGTCAGTCCGGCTCCCGGCATCACTAAGCGCTGCTTACTCAGCCTGTGCGCCCCCTGCCTGCCTGCCCAGCAGCCACACTGGACTGCTGGTAAGAAATCCACTCCAGCTTTCCCAGGGAGGCTGGGTGGATTTAAAATAAATGTAAAAAATATTAGTTTGTGAGTGTTAGTGGAAATGTCTGTGTGTGTGTCTGTGAGTGTTTATTTTGAAGTGAATGTGTGTGTGTGTGTGTGTGTGTCTGTAAGTGTGTAATTGTGTGTGTCTGTAAGTGTGTAATTGTGTGTGTCTGTAAGTGAATGTGTGTGTGTCTGTGAGTGAATGTGTGTGTTGGTCAGTGAGTGTATATGTGTCAGTCAGTGAGTGTGTATGTGTCAGTCAGTGAGTGTGTATGTGTCGTCAGTGAGTGTGTATGTGTCGTCAGTGAGTGTGTGTCAGTCAGTGTGTATGTGTCGGTCAGTGGAGTCGTGCATCTTTCAGTGAGTGCTTGCGCCTGTCAGTGAGAGTGTGCATCTGTCAGTGTGTGTCCAAGTAATAGTGTATGTGTGTATGTCGTTGTTTGTCAGTGTATATGAGAGTGTGTGTCTGTCAGTGAGTGTGCGTCTGTCAGTGAGTGAGCATCTGTCAGTCAAAGTGCGGCCTTGACAGGAAGGGGTGGGGGAAATTTAAACTCGGTTACAGGCATGTACACACACACTCTGTTAAAGGCAGTCACACATACAGGCACAGGCACAAACAATGGCACAGCTACAGCGACACACACAGACAGTCACATAGGCAGTCACACACACAGACACACAGTCACACACACACATAACACACACATAGACAGTTATACACACACAGGCAGGCAGTCACACAGATAGAAAGTCACACACACAGGCAGGCAGTCACACACAGACAGATAGTTACAGACAGACACACACAGGCAGGCAGGCAGTCACATACAGGCAGTCACACACACAGGCAGTCACACACACAGACAGACAGTCACACACACAGACAGTCACACAGACAGACAGTCTCACACACACAGGCAGTCACACACACGGGCAGTCACACAGACAGACAGTCACACACATGGGCAGTCACACAGACAGACAGTCACACACACAGACAGTCACACACAGGCAGGCAGTCACACACAGAGACAGTCACACACAGAGACAGACAGTCACACACACACACAGAGACAGACAGTCACACACACACACAGGACAGGCAGTCACACAGACAGTCACACACACACACACACAGACAGTCACACAGACACACACACACACACAGACAGACAGTCACACAAACAGGCAAACAGTCACACACACACACTTACCTCTTTCCAGTGGATGCAGTTGGCTGATGGGGAAGCATCTTTCCCTCTTCCTGTACAGCAGGGGCTTCGGGAGGTATTAGCCCCGTCTCCGCCTCTCGATAAGCCCCGCCTCCGCCGCTCGGTAAACCCCGCCCCCTCTGCCGCGATTTTTTTTTTTTTTAAATAGACCCGGGTGGAGAACAATTAATCCTCCAGCCAGGTACCTCTGTTAGCTCCCCTGCACTCCGGCCATGAGTGAGCTGTGTCGGCCACAGGGCGCCCCCTGTTCCATGGCGCCCTGTGCGGTCGCACAGCTCGCACACCCCTAAGGCCGGCCCTGGATATGAGATGCAAAAGTCCAATAAAATCTAAAATCTAAAATACAGGGAGTACAGAATTATTAGGCAAATGAGTATTTTGACCACATCATCCTCTTTATGCATGTTGTCTTACTCCAAGCTGTATAGGCTCGAAAGCCTACTACCAATTAAGCATATTAGGTGATGTGCATCTCTGTAATGAGAAGGGGTGTGGTCTAATGACATCAACACCCTATATCAGGTGTGCATAATTATTAGGCAACTTCCTTTCCTTTGGCAAAATGGGTCAAAAGAAGGACTTGACAGGCTCAGAAAAGTCAAAAATAGTGAGATATCTTGCAGAGGGATGCAGCACTCTTAAAATTGCAAAGCTTCTGAAGCGTGATCATCGAACAATCAAGCGTTTCATTCAAAATAGTCAACAGGGTCGCAAGAAGCGTGTGGAAAAACCAAGGCGCAAAATAACTGCCCATGAACTGAGAAAAGTCAAGCGTGCAGCTGCCACGATGCCACTTGCCACCAGTTTGGCCATATTTCAGAGCTGCAACATCACTGGAGTGCCCAAAAGCACAAGGTGTGCAATACTCAGAGACATGGCCAAGGTAAGAAAGGCTGAAAGACGACCACCACTGAACAAGACACACAAGCTGAAACGTCAAGACTGGGCCAAGAAATATCTCAAGACTGATTTTTCTAAGGTTTTATGGACTGATGAAATGAGAGTGAGTCTTGATGGGCCAGATGGATGGGCCCGTGGCTGGATTGGTAAAGGGCAGAGAGCTCCAGTCCGACTCAGACGCCAGCAAGGTGGAGGTGGAGTACTGGTTTGGGCTGGTATCATCAAAGATGAGCTTGTGGGGCCTTTTCGGGTTGAGGATGGAGTCAAGCTCAACTCCCAGTCCTACTGCCAGTTCCTGGAAGACACCTTCTTCAAGCAGTGGTACAGGAAGAAGTCTGCATCCTTCAAGAAAAACATGATTTTCATGCAGGACAATGCTCCATCACACGCGTCCAAGTACTCCACAGCGTGGCTGGCAAGAAAGGGTATAAAAGAAGAAAATCTAATGACATGGCCTCCTTGTTCACCTGATCTGAACCCCATTGAGAACCTGTGGTCCATCATCAAATGTGAGATTTACAAGGAGGGAAAACAGTACACCTCTCTGAACAGTGTCTGGGAGGCTGTGGTTGCTGCTGCACGCAATGTTGATGGTGAACAGATCAAAACACTGACAGAATCCATGGATGGCAGGCTTTTGAGTGTCCTTGCAAAGAAAGGTGGCTATATTGGTCACTGATTTGTTTTTGTTTTGTTTTTGAATGTCAGAAATGTATATTTGTGAATGTTGAGATGTTATATTGGTTTCACTGGTAATAATAAATAATTGAAATGGGTATATATTTGTTTTTTGTTAAGTTGCCTAATAATTATGCACAGTAATAGTCACCTGCACACACAGATATCCCCCTAACATAGCTATAACTAAAAACAAACTAAAAACTACTTCCAAAAATATTCAGCTTTGATATTAATGAGTTTTTTGGGTTCATTGAGAACATGGTTGTTGTTCAATAATAAAATTAATCCTCAAAAATACAACTTGCCTAATAATTCTGCACTCCCTGTATTGAAGACTTACAGTTCCCTAGCTTCCGCTTTGTTATATCTTTATATATTTACCTTGATGTCAGCGTTTCATACTGTTTTTTTGTCTCTTTGTATCTCCCCTTAACTATTTCAGTCCTATCTCCACTTTCTACTTTTTGTCTCTCAGCTGCCACTCTTACAGTAAAGTGTGAAAATTAAGAGAATATTACAGAGCTCCAAAACAATAAAACTACTGTTTATGAAAAAGCTTAACAGCAATAACCTTTACAGTAGTCACAGTTTTTGACATAAATACAATTCAAAGTGTATAGTGTGTAGGAGTGCTTCACAGAGCACTAAATCAATAAAATGTAATATCCAGTGTATTGGTCCATCCAGACTTCCCCAATGCATGTTTCAAACAGCCTCTCTACCCAATCACAGCTTACCTATATTTTTCCTAGGGATGAATTTATCAGGCAATCATGAGCAATATACAAAAAAATTTATATGAATACCGCACTCAATATAGTAAAATAATCAAACGATAGTGAAAGGTAATGTAATTTAATGTATTATATTCTAATTCTTAAATTCATAGGTATTTAGCTTTATGTAAGAGATTTAGCTTTATGTAAGAGATTATGATTTGATCAAAAGAATATATTACATCATATATTCAATAGCTATTTACAGAATGACCTCCATGGGTATTGTATAAATTCATAATAAGTATATATACACAGCTAATAATATTCCTGTTTAATGGTCTAAGGAAAACATATCCATATGGATAATAGTTGGATCTGTTGTAATCTATGTACATAGAAAAAAGAAAAAAAAAGAAAAAAATAAGAAAAAAATAAACTAAAAAATGAAAAATAAAAAAATTGAAAAAAATGAAGAAAAACAAAAAGATAATATATGTCCTGATGTACAATAGTCCAAAAAATAGTGCACTTAAGTAATAAATAGGTGGATCTCACCCACCGAAGTATCCAGATGGATTGTAGCCTTAGAAGCAACTGGAGAATTTGTGGAGAATCTGTAATGAATGAAAAGGTGAGCTTTAAAACCTGCTGAATTCCTGCTGTGATGCAGGCTGTAATACAGACTCGGCCAGGGTGTCAATGCTGTCCTCATATATCCCCCTGAAGACCGTCAATTCTATTCCTCAAATCGGAGATAGCCACAGTATGTGTGCCGTCACAGTATAGGGGCTGCTCGCTCGGGACATCCACATCCCTTCAAAGGCCCCTGCCTTCATGAGCAATAGAACTGCCTCAGTTCTCGATCGTTGCCCATATCTCTTTAAAAAGGGATGGCACTAATAAAACCTCATTCCTATGTCTGCTTCAACCATTGTGAGACCTTGTAGACAAGTGTGTCTGGGAAATGACCAAGAACTAAGAATGAAGAGATGATCAGTTTTCCCCATGCACACACAAAGAGAAAATTTATATAACCATAATTCCAACAGGGCCATATACAGCCAACGGACCAGAAGTTTAATGCCACAATATTAGTGTTTCATGTAGTCTAAAATTTGCTTTATTTTTGACACAAAAAGCAAGGAAGTGCCAACTTGATTAAGTGTTCCTCATTTGTGATTTAGGACCAATTAACCTCAACCTTATTTTGTTACCAATTATGTCCTGTTGCCCATGGTTAAAAATAAATAATCTGGTGTGGTCAGGCATTCTTTTATAAACTGTGCAAATTGATAAAAAGCAAGAGATTTGTAGGGTATTGGTATTAATAGTGTAACCTAGCTAATCATTAAACCATTTTAGAAACTATGTTGAATTTTTGTATTACTACACACCTGAGCCGTCAGCATGCTTTTGCAAAATAGATGGTTTAGTGACTCTAGTATGATAAAATATATGGTCCACCTTAATAAATTAAAAAAATATTTGAACCAAGTACAGCATCAGTGTCAAAGTAAATATGCAGCTTACAAATGTTAAATAGTTCAAATCGGTCGCCAAGGGTTGGAGTCCTAACTCTGGATGGTTGCCCTGCCTGGGTCTTTGTACAGACAAATTAGACATGTACAAGGATTGCGACCAGGAAGGATAATTCAAGGCATCGTAAATTTCAGAAAACTAAAGATAAGAAATATTTTAGTCATCACCTATAAACAAGGAACATACAGGAATTAGGATATCAAATTATTCTTGAATAGAGACCATGAACTAGGACCAATGTGGAAAAAAGCCAGGAATACAACAATGGAACCTGAAATTAGACACAACTAGGTTAAGATATTATGACAAAAAATAAGGAGACACATTAGGAACACTGTAGCATGACAATCCTCAACAAAAAGATCAGACCAGGTTTATACATGTTTGTATGTGTCCGTGTCCTATTGAGTCATCTATTCATACAGCTCTACTTTTGTTAGTGTATTTCTCATTTCATGATGAGAAATTATTTTGGTGTTTGTCAGAGACCCTATTAATACTTCCAATTTATGATGTGTTTTGCTGTTGACCTTTTGTTTGAAAAAAAACACAACAAATTAGTTCTTGCTTGACAAAAAAAGGAAAGGTAATCAAATAATAAATAACCATAGTATCGTGAATAGTTTTAGGTTGTCTGTCAAACATTTAGGATAACTTAAGTTATCGTTTACATTATCATACATAATCTATGTTAATAAATATCTAGGATTCTTGACAGCCTGCTGAGTCACAATTAGATGCAAAGTAAGAAAGTATAAAGTCCAAGTCAACATTTTAGTGGGTTCCAAAGATATACAGCAGTCCATAGTAAAAGGCAAAGTTTGATAAGGGATGTTTAGAACTTCAGATGAAAATAAATGCAAAGAGGCTACATAGTTGTGTATTTATTAACATTGCCCAGAATGTAAGAATGAGCAGAACTGTGGAAGACTTGGTAAGTGAGGTCAACAGATTTTTAGATTATCCTTGATGGGATGGAAAAAAACAAGGATAAAACAGGTCTGGTAATTCACAGTGTGCAAGGCAAAAGAGAGATGGAAGAAAATTAGCCAGCCAGGAAAGCAGCAATATTTCTTGTATAAATCAAGCCAATAAAGACTTTTGTTGAGGCTCTTTAATAGAATTAAGGATGCAAAAACCAGAATAAATATGATAAAAGAAGGTTGCTAAAGCGAGGTGACAATCTTAGAAGAGATTAGTTTTTCTCTGACAGAGTTAACGGAAGTGGCAGATGCACTGGTTATTGAGAAGCACAGCAAAGCCAAGATAGTGTGCGCATGCGTTCACAGCTTCAGCACAAACGTACAGGGGAAGAAAACGAATTTATGTTTTATTTGGGAATATATGTACTAAATTGTGAAATAAATTGAGTGTTCCTTTAAAATACAAAATCAGCCAAAAGCCTAAAGGAGGTTGAGTATTTTTATAGAGTATAAACAGAGCTGCACAAGGGTTATAGAAGCCAAACAAACAAATAAAGGTACTAAAAGCAAAAGGAAATATGATAATAAAGCATGAGACTTAGACTTGACAAGCCCCGGGGATTCAAGGTTGATCTTGATGGCCTTTTTTTCAACCTAGACAACTATGTAACCGTAGCATACCACACACCATGTAATTTACTTGTCATAAGGTTTTACCATTTACCATTTTAACATGCAATTTGTTTGTGGGTTGTGAGGGTTTGCTTATTCTGAAATGATTATTCCAAACATCATCTCTTCCTTGGTATGCCAAACAAGTTATTCTGGTTTTCTGCATCTTCCTTTCTATAGAACCACAATTATACAGATATAATATTTTTTTTTTCTTTATTCAGTTAAACATCTTTCATGTCTGTTCTTTTATACAACTTTTCTTTACTCTTTTAACTCTCCCCTCCTGTTTCCATTCTACTTTTCTCTATGGTCTATCTATGGCATCAAATGAGAAAAACCTGGTCATTGTTCTTTCTAGTTACCATTCTAACATTGCCATGTATAAATCTACACTGACTTTATGCTATGTTCATTCACTGATTACATCTAAAAAAAATGTACAAATAATTCTAAAGAATGGCAAAAAAAATAAAAAAATTCTGAGACAGGGAGAATCATGTAATGCGATTGTAGATTTCCATAGGGTGCGTCT